TGTATGAGTCTATGATTCTATTTTCCTCATGTTGCAATAAGTTCTTTTGACATTTACCTTAAATTGGTGTACTGTAGTTCACAAATATGCTGTCAGGAGTCAAACTGCTTCTCTCTATCTACTGTGTCCTGCCACCTCCATCAAATCTTCTCTCAAATCTAAACAGAACATCCCCACCTCTCCCCTTCAATTTATTCATGGAAACCCTTCTTGAAAATTTCTTTCTACACATTTTCCCATGCCTTCACATCCTTCCCTAAGGTGCTGTGCGGGGAATTGGATACACAACTTCCAGCTGAGGTTGAGAAAGTCTTTTTTTTCGTAAAAAAGATTTACAATACATTTCTTGCTTTTGTCTTCTCTGCCTCTATTGATGAAGTCCAGTATCCCAGTGACTTTTAAAAGGAGAATGAGATTATATTTGGAAAGTAAAATAAAGAATTTCTGGGCCATGGGTAGAGGATAATGAATTGGGTTGAATTGGAAAGCTCTCTTAAGGAGGCAGCATTGACACCATGGGCCAATGAAATTAGCCAGGTATAGGGTAGTCATGCCTCTTGGCAGATGACCATTTTGTGATTTGCCTGCATCAATCATGAAACATAAGGAGACTTAAAGAAGGACACTCCACTTTTGTGAGGAGTATCTCTCATCACCTTTGAATATAAAGCAGATGTTCACTCTATAATTACCATCTCTCACCTTAACAAGCATAAAACCCATCAGAGGAAATTAAAGGCACTTTGCCTAAATATACACGTAACAAAATCTTAATGGAATCTATTACCGCCACCTTTGACAGCTGCAGGTGTTAGAGCTGCATTGAGACATCATTATGGTCCCGAGAACTCTCTGATGTCAGATGAGAATGTTGCCTAGCAAAGAGCAAGATGAGAAAAGAAAAGCCAAATCATAGAAATGAGACTTGCGAATTAAATGCCAATAGCTCCAATCTATCTCAGATCGTAAGAAATACGAACAGGAGTAGGTTGTAAGGCTCCTTGAGCTTTTTACCATTATTCAATCAGATAATGACTGATCTGTGACCTGAGCTCCATTGTCCTGTGTTCTCCTCAGATACCTTGCTTTCAGAAAACATTTTCAGTCAACCTATTCAGAGATGTTATCACAAACCTCAGGAGCAGGTAGGACTTTAATGCAGGCCTCCTGGTTCAAAGGTAGGGACGGTACGACCATCACAAGAGCCAACGAGGCTTCATTAATACTTTCTAACCAACCCATTCAGAGATTTCAATACAGCCCTCTGGAATAGGTGAGCCTCCTCATTGCCCATAGGGTTGGTAGAGGCAGAAAACTTCATAATGTTTAAGAAGTATTTAGATGGAGGGACATGGGCCAAGTGCAGGCAAGTAGGACTAGTTTATATTGGGATTATGATCAGCATGGACTGGTTGGACCGAAGGATGTGTTTGACTCTATGACTATGACTCGATGTGCGCTTGCGATGTCAAGGCATACGAGGCTGCGGGATTAGAACAGTTAGGTGATTGTTTTTGACTGGCGCAGACTCGATGGGCCGAAGGGCCTTTTATTATTATTTCTTACGATCTGAAATAGATTGGAGCTATTGGCATTTAATTCGCAAGTCTCATTTCTATGATTTGGCTTTTCTTTTCTCATCTTGCTCTTTGCAAGGCAACATTCTCATCTGACATCTGGCTCTGCAAATCTTCCTAAACACTACAGTTACAACATTTAAAAGGCATCTGGGTGGATACATGAATCGGAAGGGTTTAGAAGGATATGGGCCAAATGTTGCCAAATGGGACTAGATTTATTTAGGACATCTGGTCGGCATGGACGAGTTGGACCCAAGGGTCTGTTTCTGTGCTGTACGTCTCTTTACCTCTACTTTTTGAATGTCCTCCTGAAAATTACGGTTGTATCTGCTTTCTCTCAGGGCATTTTACGCAAGAACAACTCATTTCATTTCAAAACAAAAATGTCCACTCATCTCCCCGTATGGCATTTTTGGTTGATTAATGTTAAAATCTTCCGGTGACTGATACTCCTCCAGCATAAACAGATATAAAGCACTAATAAGATTCTGCTCCTACGATGCTGCTTGGCCTGCTGTGTTCATCCAGCCCTGCACCTTGTTGTGTCGGATTCTCCAGCATCTGCAGTTCCTACTATCTCTAATAAGATTGACCTGCCTGGCCTTGAAGTGCCGGATTGCTGTTATCTTACCGGTTGCTCTGCTTGTAATGGTTGAACCTTTCCACCAACACTCTCAGATTCCCCGAGGAGCTCTTTAAGGGGATTACTTTCCCCTCCGGGATAATGGATTGGAGCTCCGCCAAATTACATGAAAAGCAAACCGCTTACAATGAAGTGGCGTGACCGGATGAAAATAAGTGGTTTTGAAATGGCTCTCTGTGATATTAAAGCTAATCCCTTTGTTGAAACAACAGACAGGGGAGACTCACAAAACCTTGCAAAAAGGAAGCCCTGACTCGTGTCAACCCAGAGTAGCCGGCGAGGAAGGCACGTGTGAGAAGTGGGCAGAAGCAGATAAAGATTAGGAAAGGGCTACACGCTTTGAAAGAGAAACGCCAAACAGGAATGAAATCTTGCCGGTTGTCAGGACGTGGGAGGGGAGTCACGTGTACGGGAATCCCTAAAGACTGTGAGCAATGACTGACTCAGACTATTAGGCTCCAGCCTGATTAATTATCTTACAGTTGATCATGTCATGATCCATGTAGCTTGACAAAGCGGGGCTGCTTTTAATTTTTCAATGATTCCAATGCAGAGGAAAATGTTTTTAAAATAGTGAAGGGTTGGGCAAGAGGGATTCATTGCAGTTGGCTCGTCCAAAATTCAAATCATTTCTGCAGCGTCTAAACACGAATTGACGCTCCACCACGGCTAATTCTGGGCTCTGTTCTCTAAATTCGTCAGTGCACTCAGGAATTGCAGTCCTGGCTGATCTGTTCACTTCATAGCCCAAAGCATTTTATCTTCCAACACTGGCTGAATGAATAAAATGAGTTTGCTGGATTTGGCGTTTCAGTGGTCCTTACTTCCCTAGTTCTCTAGCCGCAGGTCCCTGCCACTTTGTTTGCCCACATCTCAACACATACACACACGCGCACACACACAGACATATACACAGACACACACATAGACACGCGCACACACAGACACATACAAAGACACACATAGACACACACACAGACACATACATAGACACACACGCACACACACACACATACAAAGGCACACACAAACACACACAGACACACACAGACATACATAGACGCGCACACACAGACACATACAGACACACATAGACACACACAGACACATACATAGACACACACACACAGACACATACAGACACACATAGACACACACAGACACATACATAGACACACACACACACATACAAAGGTACACACAAACACACACAGACACATACAAAGGCACACACAGATACATACATAGACACACAGACACACACACACCCACCCACACACACAGACACACACACCCACCCACACACACTGACACACACACACACACCCACCCACCCATACCTACCCACACAAACACACACACAATCAATCAATTCTGAGAATTTGAAACACGATAAGGCGCTTCTTATATCTTCACATTCCCGTTCCTACTTTCCTTTTCTTCATTTGTTGGTGCCATCAGCCCTTCATTCATTCTGATTCAAGTTGCAATGAGGAAATAGGCCATTTGGTCTTCAGTGTGAGCAACTAGTTCTTATTATGTTTGCGTGCACTCTTCCCTTCTCCCACCATCTACTGTATCCCCCCATCCATCCACTAGTCTGATTTCATCTTGAATGTCAACATAATTTCAGCCTGAACCAGTCATGTATTTCATAGCTCGCTGCATAAAGGAGTTTCTCCTGCCTTCTTTGCTGAATGATGCACAATATAGACGATACCCTCTTGCTTGGAAGCCTTATATTCTCCATTGTTAATACTCAGTTGTATGTCCCTTATAATTAACAAGCATGTTTCCTTCAAAATAAGAGACATAATGCTTAGAATGTGCTTTGGGACATTGTTTGGTCATGAAATATAAATCCAGGCTAGTACTGTGGTAAACACAGCACCCTCTTAGCACTAGGGACCCAGGGTCAATTCCACCTTTGGTCAACTGTCTGTGTGGAGTTTGCAAGTTCTTCCCGTGTCTGCGTGGGTTTCCTTCAGGTGCTCAGGTTTCCTCCCACAGTCCAAAGATGTGCAGGTTAAGTGGACTGACTATGCTAAATTACCTCCTAGTGTTCAGGGATGGGCAGTCTATGTGAATTAGCCATGGGAAATGTAGGGTTACAGGGATAGTGTGGATAGGATGGAGGGTTGGTGTAGACTTGATGGGCCAAACGGCCTGCTCCAACACTGTAGGGATTCTATGATGATTCTTTTCTTCCTTAAGTAAAGGCTTAGAGCACTGCTGAGTGTGTTGGGATTGTCCGACAGAAACCTGTAAGGGCCTAGACAAGCTTCCGACAGAGATTCCTGACTTCAGCCATCCTGATGTTGACCTCTATTTCTCCAAGACGAGACAGCAGAGAGGAGGTGGTCAGGTGGGAAGGACTCAGTTAGGAGCCCTGCTCCTCAATATTATACAGCAATCTCTACTAGGCGCCAGGCACAGGCGGAGATACTATTGGGCTAATAGCACTGTGTGTATGGACAGCAAATGGATGGCCGCAGTTCAAGAGAACAGCTCACCACTACCTTCTTAAGGATAACTGGGGATGGGCAATGAATGCCAGGCCCAGCCAGCGATACCCATGTCCTGTGAATAAATAATCAAACGAACAATAAGCTAACCTGTTACAGGTCTTTTACAGTACACTCCTTCTGCAGTTCCATAGGAAGGTGACGTCCAATTGGGTCTGAGCAACACGGTATTCCCAAGCTACTGAAGCTTAGCCCCAAGATGGGCCAGTGTTATCATGAGATAAATGATTAATTCTGCTGTTTGCGTTCCAGGAGACAATCCTACCGCACTGGGCAGGACATTGCAAACTGTGGGACTTGTCGAGACTGTGCCTGCATCATCTACAGGTAGAAGCACCCTTTATTTCTTCTGTCTAACATCTGACTGTGCTGTGGAGCAGAGAGCCAGTATTTTCAAATGGGCAAATAATGCTCCATTAAACGATGACAGTTCAGAGATAAATTTAGCTGTGCGTAGTTCTGCTCATTAGAGATATTCCGAATGCTTACACATTATTAGGCAGATACACTCTCCAGGGATACAACCAATTCTCATCTATTTGTTGGCACTAATATATGTAGTTCATTAAGCAAGATTATTATCATCTGATCATTCCTGATAGCACAATCATTATTCCTAAAATAAAATCTCTCATCTGACCAGTGTAGAAAGCAGAAGAGAAACAGAAAAATAAGTAAAATTCTTCAATGAAAATGGCCCTATTTGGATCTGGATGTCGACATGGGACATATCAGTGTTCAAATGACATTTTCACATCTTCCACAGTTTCCAGCGCTGACAATGGTCTACTAAACAAAATACGTACCGAGTTGTGCTTTGAGTGGTTCAGCTCTTCATTGCACAAGAGTGGAACGAAGTGGAAAAAACTCAGTCCTCTGCTTGGGGGATAGGCGTTGGTGTAGGGTGGGCAGGCTCAGATCACCCCATAAAGAGAGACTGGACAGACTCAGGCTGTTTTCTTTAGAGCAGCAAAGGCTGAGAGGGCACTGATTGAGGTGTATAAGATTATGAGGGGTATGGACAGGGAAGCATAGGGGCATTATTTTAAAGTGAAAGGCAGGAGGTTCAGAGGGGATTTGAGGAAAAACATTTTCACCCAGAAGGTGGTAGGTGTCTGGAATGCACTGCCTGGGAGTAGTTGAGAAAGGGAGCCTCACAACCTTTAAAAAGTACTTGGATAAGCACTTGAAATGTCATAACATTCCAGGCTGTGGGCAGAGGGGTGGCACGGTGTCACGGTGGTTAGCGCTTTGGCCTCACAGCACCAGGGACCCAGGTTCAATTCCAGCCTCGGGTGTCTGTCTGTGTGGAGTTTGCACCTTCTCCCTGTGCCTGCGAGAATTTCCTCCGGGTGCTCCGGTTTCCTCCCACAGTCCAAAGATGTGCAGGCTAGGTGGATTGGCCATGCTAAATTGCCCATAGTGTTCAGGGATGTGTAGCTGAGGTGGGTAATAGGGGGATAGGTCTGGGTGGGATGCACTGAGGTTCGGTGTGAACGTGTTGGGCCGAAGGGCCTGTTTCCACACTGTAGGGATTCTATGATTCCATGATTCTATGAAAGTGCTGCAAAATCCAAAGATGTGCAGGTTAGGTGGATTGGCCATTCTAAGTTGCCCATAGTGTTCAGGGATGTGTAGATTCAGTGGGTTATAGCTGGGATGCTGTGAGGGTCGGTGTTGACTTGTTGGGCCGAAGAGCCTGTTTCCACACTGTAGTGATTCTATTCTATGATGAAAGTGGAATTAGTGGAGATAGATTGGCACCGACTCAATGGGCTGAGGGGCCACTTCTGTACTATATGACTTTATGACACAGGGTGGGGGGGTATCCTACCAGTTGGTCACTGGAATGAAACTATCAAGTGTTTGTTCAAATAAGAGATATGTGAAAGCATAGGTCATAAATTCCACGCCTGTGTTACCAGTGAGTGATCCTTTCATAGCAACTCATGATGGGAGCAACTTTGGCAATCAAGCCCAACAAATAGGGAACTAAACCCAAGGGCAATGCTACAATTTTCCCTTTCTTGGTGAGGCTGGGAAATCTTGAACTCTTGACATTCAAATATCTAACATGTTTGAGGTACTTCATCTGAAACATACTTTCGTATTTACAGCAGGATGCTTTGGAGAGGGTACAGAAAAGATTTACCAGGATGTTGCCTGGTGTGGGGGACTTTATCTCTAAAGAAAGGTTGAATAGACTGGGTTTGTTTTCACTGGATTGCAGGAGGTTGAGGGGCGATCTGATAGAAGTTTATAAGATTTTGAATAGCATGGATTGAGTGGAAAGTATGAGGCTTTTTCTCAGGGTCGAGGGGGCAATTACTGGGGGACACAGGTTCAAGGTGCAGGGGTGAAGTTTAAAAGAGATGTGTGGAGGCAGGTTTTTCACACAAAGGGTGGTGAGTGCCTGAAACACGTTGCCAGAGGAGGTGGTGGAAGCAAACACAATAGCAGCATTCAAAAAGCATCTGGACAAATACATGAATAGGAAGGGAATAGAGGAATACAATCCTGTAAGTGAAGACAGTTGTAGTATGGAAGGGCAAAATATGTTGAATATGTTGGTGCAGGCTTGGAGGGCTGAAGGGCCTGTTCCTATGCTGTAGTGTTCTTTGTTTGTCGGACTATGTGAATTGACTGGAGAAGATGGAATTAAAAGAACAAGGGAGAATTGGGGAGAGTAGATAGAGATGCTCAAAATTACATAGTAAAGGGAAAACTGTTGCCAACAGCTGAAGGATTGATGAGGGGCCGCAGATTTAAAATGTTTGGCAAAAGAACCAGAGATCATATAAGAGGACACAGTGTGGAGCTAGAGGAACACAGCAGGGCAGGCAGCATCAGAGGAGCAGGAAAGCTGATGTTTCGGGTCGGGACCCTTCATCAGAAATGGGGGCCATTTCTGAAGAAGGGTCCCGACCCGAAAAGTCAACTTTCCTGCTCCTCTGATGTTGCCTGGCCTGCTGTGTTCATCCAGCTCCACATTGTGTTATCTCTGACTCCAGCATCAACAGTTCTTACTATCTATGATACAAGAGGACAATTGTTTTTATGTATTAATCTCATGTAATAATATATTACAATTTGCATTGGAACTTCAGATAGAGGTTTGGATACAGATCCAGTAACCTTCAAAGTGAAATAGGATAAACACTAGAAGGAATAAAAATGCTGCAGGTACTCAAGGAAAGACCAAAATTAGTGTAACTAGCAGGATTGTGCTTTGTAAAAGCTTGCACGTACCCTTCGTGCTGAATGGTCTCATTCTGTGCTGTGTTATTCTCTGATTCTGGACCTAAAATGGCCTCTGACCAAGGCCTATCCCATGGCAGTCACGTTGACCACCAGGAACAGCAGCACTTGGCATGACATTCACTTCCTATTGCTGCAGCAACTCTGTGGTAGCAGCCTCACCTTCAAAGTTAGAAAGTTTGGTGACTCCCAGGCTGACATGAGAGATGTGAACACATGATCCATGTTTGACAATCCCTGTGTGTTTCTGACAGGGAGTGCTGCACCGTTGGAGGTCTGATTGCTTGTTAAAACCTTCCCATGGTGCAGTGCAAAGAGGAACAGTTGCATTCTCCCCAGTCTCCTGACCAACATCAAAGCAACGGCAATGAGCCAGATGACCTGAGAGCTGTTTGTGGGAGCTTGCTGTCCCCACATTGGTGTTACCACATTTGCAAACACGGCCACGTTTCAAAACTCCCATCCTGAGCTCTGAAGCACTTTGAGACTTGCTGGGATTGAGAAAGAAATCTTAGAGTTTCAAGTCATGCTGAGGTTGTACAGGACGTTGGTGAGGCCACTTCTGGAGTACTGTGTGCAGTTCTGGTCGCCCTGTTATCGAAAGGATATTATTCAACTGGAGAGGGTTCAGAAAAGGTTTACCAGGATGTTGCTGGGATGGAGGGTTTGGGATATAAAAACAGACTGGAAAGACTTTTCACTGGAGCATAGGAGGTTGAGGGGTGACCTTAAACACATTTATAAAAACATGAGGAGCATAGAAAGGTGAATAACAAGGGTCTTTTCCCTAGGGGTAGGAGAGTTCAAAACTAGGGGTTATATTTTTTAAAGTGAGAGGGGAAAGATTTAAAAAGGACACGAGGGACAACTCTTTTACACAGAGAGTAGCTTGTGTGTGGAATAAACTGCCAGAGAAAGTGATGGAAGCAGGTACAGTTACAACATTTACAAGACATTGTGGATAAGTCCATGAATCGGAAAGGTTTGCAGGGATATGGGCCAAGCGCAGGCAGGTGGGACTAGTTTAGTTTGAGAACATGACCGGCGTGGACTAGATGGAATGAAGGGTCTATTTCCGTGCTGTATGACTCTCTGACTCTAAGTCATTCTTTGCAAAAGCTCTGGCATCATCTAAGTAATTCACTGCAGGGTTATTCCAATGTTAAGTAGGACTGGAAGGGCCTCTTCGGTACTGTATGATTGCTGGAACCTTGTTTTAAAAAGTTTGCCCCAGATTCAGTAAACAAAGCAGTGAAATCTCAGCACATCTTAATTCACCGTTTGGTGCTGAGTCCTACCTTAGCTCGATTATGAAGGGTTAATTGGTCAATGTCCAACGATTGTAATTAGTAACTACATCCCTGACCCTTTTGTTTCCCTGTTATTGAATGCAGATCACTTTGCTAAAAATGACAGGATCTGAAGATAAATCAGCTTACAGCATTTGTGGCACAGGCCATTTAATCATTAATCCCACAACTAATCCCAAATTATGACTGCGCATACAATTTTCTGGAATTATGGAACGTACTCGCAAAAGCCATATTTTACTTGGCAACTACAGCCTGCACCAAGCCAACAGCTGATCCAGCCTTGATGCAAAACATACAGCAGACCAACCGAGAATGTGCGGAAAGGAGAAACAAGACTGATTTGAAAGTATCACACGGGGGAAGAACTGGGAATAAAAGTAACGAGTTTCAAATCATAATCCTTAAAGAGTCAGACTCACTGGCAGAAACATGGAGAGGTGTAGTTCAACTGGGAAAGAACTCGGAATCAATGTCTTCTACCTGTCTGAACTTCTGCATTTATACACCTTGCAGTTCACGGCCCAATTGCTTTAGTTATTTCAGGGCATGACTTTGACGCCTGTCTTGGTCTCAGAAAGTTGCTGGTGAATCCAGTTTGGGAGCAGTGACCATCGGGAAACAGAGGAGAAAATCCAACCTGGAAAAGTGACAGCTCTGGATGTCAACTCCTCTTGCATACTTTTAAGTCTAATTCGGAGTTGTCCCTTCATTTCTGTGTTTCACTGGTTTTGCACTGAGTCTGGGATTGGGGGAATC